TTCTTTTACACTCCAGTTGAAACAATCCTAGTCTGTCCAACCTTTCCTCACGAGATGATCCATTCATTCCACATATCAGTCTCGTAAGCATTCTCTGAACTGCCTAGATGAAGACTTACAGTATGCTTTCTAGATACTTAGAACAGCATGTTCTGGAGCCAGAGAGCGGGCTATACCAGAATTGGTATTGTGCAACAAATAGCATTAACCAATGATCTCATAGCAAAGATGGCCTAGATAGCAGCAACTTTATTAGAACTGAAGTTTACATTCAGTGTGAAGGAGAGAAGAGTGGGGCCAAGCATACTTTTTTATAATTTAAAAAAAGGCAATTATTGAAGTTAATTGGCAAATTAAAGGATAGGTCAACAGAGTATAGTGACAGACATTTAAGGGAATGTTTCCAAATACACAAGGTACATTCCAAACAGTAAGAATAATTCATGGGACAGACCCACAATCCATCGTTAACGAGAAAAGTTAAAGGGAGTATAATGTAAAGGATAAACATATAATTGTACAAAGCTAGGCTGCGGGTCAGTAATTTAATTTAAAATATAAAAAAAGTGAGTAATTAAAATATTAAGGAGGGAAAAGCTGGAGTACAAAAGGAATTTAGCTAGAAATAGTAAAACAGATAGCGTGAGTTTCTTTAAATATTTAAAGTGTTAACAAAGTGAACATTTGTCCTATGGTCCAGAGAATTTATAATGGAAAATAAGGAAGTGGCAGATAAATTGAACAGGAATTTTCCATCAGGATTCATAAGGGTTATGAATAACATCCCAGAAACAGCCATAAATTAGGAAATGAAGGGAAGGAAGAACTCAGGAAAATTACAATCACCACAGAAAGTGGTGATGAGTTAATAGTCAGAGCTGCAGGTTGAAAACTGCCTGACAGAAATCCTGAAGTCTTAAAAGAAGTATTGACTGAGATAGTTAGTTGACATTTTGGTTTCAATTTTCCAAACTGTCTAGACTTGGGGAAAGTCCCATTAAATTGGAAGATTGCAAATGTAACTCTTTATTCAAAAAGGAAGGTAGCAGAAAGCAGCAAACACCAGGCCAAATAGCTTAACATTCTTGATGGAAAAATTAATAAAAGCTATTATTAAAGAAGTTTTGACAGGGCACCTAAGATAAATTCAAGGTATTCAAGTGGAGTCAAATAATCTTGTGAAAGGGAAATTATTTTTAACCAATATATTGGAGTCCTTTGCAGAAGTAACAAGTTCTGCAGATAAAGGGGAACCAATGGATATACTGTAATTAGGTTTCCAGAAGACATTTGAAAAAGTGCTACATCAAAGGTTATTGCAGAAAATAAAATCACATCGTATAGTGGTAATTGGCATGCAAAGAAGACTGGCCAGTGAATGGGAACAGAAATTAAATATCAATGGGTCTTTTTCAGGTTGGCAAGATGGAACAAGTGGGATTGTTACAGGGACCTCAACATTTTACAATTCATATAAATGAATTGAATGAAGGGAAAAAGGTTTAGCTGCCAAATTTACTGATGACACAAAGATGGATAGGAAATTTAAGTTATTACGAAGACATAAGGAGGCTACAAAGGTAAAGGGATTTGACAAAGATTCCTCAAAACAAATTTGTGGAAAAATGAGAGATTGTCCATTTTGTAGTAAGAACAAAAAATAAGCATATTATTTAAATTGGGAGAAGTTGCAGGGATCCAAGAAGCAGAGGGATCTGGGCATTCTGGTGCATGAACTGCAGTAAGTTAGGATGCAAGTACAGCAAGTAATTCAGAAAGCCACTGGAATATTGTTATTTATTGTGGGGGTAATTGAGTACAACAGTATAATGTTATGCTTCAGTTATACAGGGTTCTAATGAGACCGCCTCTGGAGTGCTGTGTTGGTATTAGTCACCTTATTTAAGGCTGGATTTAAATTTGTTAGAAACAGTTCAGAGTAGGTTCACCGTACTAACATCTGGAATAGGCAGTTTGTCGTACGACAAAATGTTGCACTGGCTTAACTTGTATCCATTGGAGATAAAAAAAGTAAGAGGTGACTTGATTAAAACATAGATCCTGAAGAATCTTTATGGCTTGGATGTGAAGAAATCATTTCTTTTATGGAACGATCAAAAATAGGGGTCACTATTTAAACATCAGTGATTAAAACTGAAAATAAAGTTGAAACTGAAATAAATTATTTGTTTCCCTCACAGAGAGTTGAGAGCCCTTGGAACTCTCTTCCTAAAAAGGTAGTGGAAGCAGAGTCCTTGAATTACTTTCAAGGCAGAGACAGATAGATACTTTTGAAGCAAGAAGGTAGAAGGTTATCAGGAAAGCATGAGAACACGGATTTGAAGTTATAATCAGATCATTCATGATCTTACTGAATGGCAGAACAGGTTTGTTGAGCTGAATGGCCTCCTCCTGCTCTTTGATTATATGTACCACAACATCTCTTGGCTTCTCCATCGTCACTAAATTATCAATCCACTTCTGGAGCATTGAGTAGTGGATGAACAAAGATTTCCCCCAAATAATGTTAGAAAGATGGAAACCATTTTCTTCAATTCCTTTGACAAACTCCATTCGCTACTACTGTCTCCATCAACCATTTATCCAAACCAGGCAGCTCACAAATTTGTTGACATAACTGACCCAGAGACGGATTTCTACATATCTGCATCATCACTAAGACTGCCTATTTCCACCTACATAACTACCCCGTCTCAGTTCACTTACTGCTGAAACCCTCATCCATGCCTTTTTTTACATCTGAACTTGGCTATTCCAATGCACCCCTGGCCAGTCTCCAACATTATATCCTCCATAATCTTGAGATCATTCAAAGCTCTGTTATTCATGTCCTTACTCTCATCAAATTTCATTCCTGTGCTTGCTGACCTACATTGGCTCCAAGTTAACCCATATCTCAATTTTAAAATTCTTATCCTTGATTGTAAATCTGTCCATAGCTTCATACACTCTAGTGCTGCAATCTCATCCAGTCCCAGAACCCTCCAGCTATCTGCACTCATCTAATCCTGATCTTTTCAAAATGATAATTAATTTCAAAATAATGGCATTTTTATGAATGGTTAACCCATTAGTAGTTTTAGGATGCTGCGTGTGGTAACAGATATGAACAAAGTTGCTTCAGCATGTTCACTGCAGTATAAATACACTTTTAACAAAGCTCAGTTAGCTGGATGGCTCAATTGCAATGTATAATGATGACAACAATGCAGGTTCATCCTTTCAACTCATGTGGGGCATGGTGACCTTCAGGTTAAACTCATCATCAGTTATTTCTCTCCAATGATAGAGCAGCCCTAGGTCCTCTGGGACCGTAGCAACTTTACCTGTACTCTTAAATGTTAATTACTACCAAAATTAACTGTTGTGTGTGCAGCTGCATTCCTTCAGATTTGTAGTTGTTGGTAATTTGAAAAATACAGAATTTGAATACTTTTCAAAATGTTTTATCCCATCCTTCTCTCTTGTTCAATCTTAATTCACTTTCTTTTCACTCGCTTCTCTTCCTGCAACTGATTTGACATTCAATTCACCTGCTCTAATTTAAACTTCTTTCTCACACAAAATTATGAGAGGTGTGGATAGAATGGATAGTTGGAGTCTTCTTCTCAGGGTAGAAATGTCAATTACAAGGTTGAAGGTAAAACAGAGAAAGTTTAAAGAAGACGTGAAAGGCAAGTATTTTTTAAACATAGAGGGTGGTAAGTGCCTGAATTGCACTGCCAGAAGAGGTGGTAAACACAGATACATTAGAATGGTTAAGAGGCATCATGACAGTTACATGAATAGGCAGAGAATAGGTGGATACAGGCCATGTAGAGGCAAGGGGTTTTCAGTTTAGACGGCTGTTATGTGTTAGCACAGGCTTGGTTGGCTGAAGGGCCTGTTCCTGTGCTGTACTGTTCTTACTTTCGTTAATTCACAATCCTTCAAGATGATTGGTTAAGTAGATGCACCGTTGCTTACCCTGTTCACTTAGGACAACAGATAAACTATTTCCATCTCTATGGCATTATCATCATACACATTTAGCAACTTGTCTTGCAGAAAATTTAAAATCCTGAACGTTAGAACAATTTGCTTTTCAATATCCTCTACAGCAAAATTTGTTCCCTATATACTTCAATTTTTGTATTTTGAAAATAAAAGAAATTAATCAACTGTGATGTTTGCAGGGTTTTTGCAATAACTTATAACTTGTATTTACATTATAGCATTTACAAAGAAAATCATCCCAAGGATTTCAGATCACATAAACCACATAAGGGATTAGCAGGAATGGTCGGTTTAGGGAGGAAATTCCAGAGTGTAGGGTCCAGTCAAAGGAAATAACAGTGCTGAAAGTAAGGTGAAAGAAGGCAGGGATACAAAAAAGGCCAGAGTCAGTGGACAATAGAGTTCTCAGGTGATAGGGACTTGACAGGATTAGTCGACGTTGCAGAGTAGGAAGGTGAAAGACCATGGAAAAAAAAAATCACACAGATTAACAAAAAACGCTGAAACAATATGAAGACACAAGTTTCGCATTCACTTGGCCACCTTAAGTATCACTGTAAAAGAATCTGGCCTTGGGTCTGTATAAAATTCATTCTCTTTAAACAGTTTTGCATCCGGATTACACTTCTCATGGGAAGAGCCATGGTTTCAGTTCAGCCTTTATCTGTACATTATGGCAAAGTTTTCTGAAAACTAACTTGTTACAAATTCATCACTAGTAGCTGAGTGCTCAGTGCCAATAGTGACTTGTTCTTCCTATCAGCTGGCAGAAATATATTTGTTTTAACCAATCCCAAATGTGGAATGTTCCACAATACTGAAGGTATATTTACCCTCAGCCTAGTTGAGAGACAGGGTAATTCATTTCTTGAAAAATAGCAGGTAATAAGTTTCCAAGCAACAAAAATGACATGTCTGAAGCTGCTGCAGAGACACAAAATCTGCTGAATTACAACTAAAATCAAAGTGACAGGACTTGGTACCTGGAGCTGATGGGAGTCATCAGCTAAATTGTCCTCTCTTCGGCGTGCCTCCTCCAGCAACTGGGCATTTCTTTTCTTCTCCACCTGTTCTTTGTGTTTCAGGTTGGCCAACTTCTTACTTTGTTCCTTCATCTGTCTGTAACATAAGTTTTAATAATAAGAAATAAGATCTTAGACCATCTCAACTGAACTCAGTACCAGCTGCAGAAGAATACTGGATTCTGTAGAATTCCAACACAGCAAAAGTACACTCTCTATCACCTGAAAACAGAAGAGCAGCAGTTCAGAATTTGACCAAATGTTTAGGTTACCTAAAGAAAGGATACAGCATTTCACTGATTCACCTATTCAATACAACACAATAATAAAATGCAATACAGCACAGCAACAGACCCACCAAGCCTCTGCCAATTCCTAATCCTTATTTAGACCCCTACGCATTCCCACGCATGGTGTCTATCCCTCTGTTTGCCTCATGCGTCTATCAACATAAACCTTAAACATTACATGCCTGCCTCCACCACCTCCACCAGCAGTGCGTTCCAGGCATCCACCAACCTCCCTGCACTTCTCCCCTAAACTTTCCCCCTCTCACCTCAAATAGAACACATATAATACTTGAGAATAGGGACAGTAGGATGCAACTAAAGCCTGTTAATGTCTCATTCCCATTTATGGGCAACTTAAAACAAAAATCGTTCAAATTATTTTCATTAAACCTTGCTCCTTTAGTGTTCTGAAAATCAACACAACTGAAATCAGTTGAAGCAAACACTCTTCACACAAACTAACTGGGAATATTATAGAATTAGATGGCACAGGATAAGATCATTTCCTTCATTATACCTGTCCCAGCTCTTTAAACTGCTACCCATTAATCCAATGGGAACTAATGCTCCTTTCCCATTGCCTGTAAAATTTCCTTTATTTTTGAATAGAAATTAGATATATTCAAAAAAATGACTGGATCTGCTTGCATCTTCAGGCAGTGCATTCTAGATCATAACAGCTTTGCTTTCTCTGTCTGTACTTGCATAAAGTCCTATTCTCCCACCACCACTATGTTTGCTGACCTACATCGGCGAGAATTTTATACCTGAGAACCATTATTTTCAAACTACTTTATGGTCTAGTTATCCTATTCCCAAAATTAAAATAAATTTTTAATTCATTCACGTGGGTGTCCCTGGCTGGAACATTTATTACCCATTTGTAGTTACCCTTAAGATGTTGATGAGCTGGTTTTTTTGAACAGCTGAGTGCCTCAGCTTTAGTCACACCCACAATGCCATCAGAGGGAGTTCCAGAATTTTGACCCAGCAACACTGAAGGAACTGTGCTAAATTTCCAATTCAGGATGGGAGTGGTTTAGAGGGGAATCTTATGAATGCATGTATCTGCTGCCAATGACTTTCAAGACACTGGTGGTCATGGGTTTGGAAGCTGCTGACTAGGGAGTCATGGTGAATGTATACAGTACATCTTGTAGATGGGACACACTGCTACATGGAGTACCATTGGTGTACTCATCCAGAGAAGTGGGAAGTATTCTATCAAACGCCCAAGTTGTGCTTTGTAAATATCAGACAGGCCTTCAAGAGCGAGGAGGTGCACTGCCTATGACAAATTTCCCAGCTTCTGACCTGCTCTTGTGGCCACTATATTTATTTGGCTGGTCCAGTTCAATTTCTCATTAATAGCAACCAAGATGTTGACAGTGTCGGATTCAGTGATGGTAATGCCATTGAATATGAAGGGGCAATGGATTCTCTCTTGTTGGAGATGGTCATTGCCTGGTGTTGTGTAGCAGGAATGTCACTTCCTCTTTGTCAGCCCAAGCCTGCATGTTGTCTAGGTCATGCTGTGTTTGGACGCAGATTGCTTAAGTATTTGAGAAGTCATAAATGGCACTGAGCACTGTGAACGCATCAGGGAACATCGCTACCTCTGACCGAATGATGAAGAAAGATCATTGATGAAGCAGCTGAGATGATTGAGACGAGGACACTATCCTCAAAACTCCTGCATAAATGTCCTAGAGCTGAGATAATTGACTTCTTAAAAACTACAACTATCTTTCTTTGTGGCAGACAATAATTACAGCCAGCAGAGAGCTTTCTCCTGATTCCAACTGAGTTCCATTTTGTCAGGGCTCCTTGATGCTACACTTGGTCAAATGTTGCCTTGATCAAGAGCAGTCACCCTTATTTCCCCTCTAGAGCCCAGCTTTTTATGCCATGTTTGGAACAATGTTGTGATGAGGTCCAGAGCTGATTGGACATGGCAGAACACAAACGGAGTGTCAGTGAACAGGGGATTGTCTACTAAATGTTGATACAAAAACAAAGGGAGGTGCAGCGGCAATCATGACAAGGGAAGACATTGTAGAACAAAAGGATTTCCATGAAGGATAAGAACAAAGTCCATTTGTTATCATTGAGGTCATTTTGAATGAGCAGACGTAGCAAATTGAATTTAATAGAAGAATTCTGAAGTGATGTATTTTGACAGAAGGAATGAGGAAAGGCAATACAGACTTAATGAGAAATGTTTGCAGGAACTTAGGGATCTGGTAATACATATATATTGATCATTGAAGGTTGTTGGTCTTATTAACAGAATGGCTAGCAAATGAGGTTTTATACTTCGTAAATAGAGCACAATTGAGTACAAGGGTATGAAAGGTATGCCAAACTTATATGATGTTTTGGTAATGCCCCAGTCTGTGTGTTGTGTCCAGCCCTGGTTACTCCTCTCTAGGACTTTGTGAAGACATATCAGAGGGTACAGAGATTTACCAGATTGGTTCCAAGGATCCAAAGCTTTAGATACAAAGTTAGGACAAAAAGGCAGGGTTTGCTCTCCTTGGACTAAAGGAGACAGATTTATTGAGATATACAAGATTATGATATATTTAAATAAACCAGACAGTGAAAATCTGTTCTCATTCATTCAAAAGTACAAGGACTAGGGATACAGATTTAATATTTGGAGACAGAGATACAGGGGGAATGTGAGCAATGTGTTACACCATCAGTGATAAGCACCTGGAAACTGTTGCCCAAAGGTCGGTGGATGCAGATATAATTAATGATCTCAAAGGGAACTTGGAGGCGATGGCCTAGAGGTATTATCGCTGGACTGTTAATCCAGAGGCCCAGATAATGCTCTGGGGATCCGGGTTTGAATCCCGCTGCAGCACATGGTGGAATTTGAATTCAATAAATATTTGGTATTAACAGTCTAATGATGACCATGAATCCATTGTCAATTGTCAGGAAAAACCCATCTAGTTCACTAATGTCCTTTAGGGGAGGAAACTGCCATCCTTACCTGGTCTGGCCTACATGTGACTCTGGACCCACAGCAATGTGGTTGACCCCTGGGCACTTAGGGATGGACAATAAATGCTGCCTAGCCAGTGACGCCCTCATCCCCTGAATGAATAAAGGAACTTGGGTGCACATGAGTGAAATAAATATGCGGGACTACAAAGACTAAGCAGGGAAGTGGGACTGACTGATTTGCTCTGTGGGGAACTGACATGAACTCAATGGGCCAAATGGCCTATTTCTGCACTTAAATGACTCCAGGAATCACATGACTTTTTCCTGACTTTACACTAAGTCACGTGATTTCTGGTGCACACCCTTCCATTCGTCATGTTTCTTCCTCTTCTCCACATGTCTGCTACATGTGCACTTTTATTAGCTATTTAATAATTCTCATCTTCATTTCATGCAGGAGAAAATGTTGCACAAGGCTTAGGTGTAAGATTAGAAGAGGAACTGTCAGCATTACAGACCAATGCAAGAAACCAATGGTGCTTCAAGAGTTCCTATATTCTAGCTGGAGGGGAAGGTAGCTTGTCAAATGTCTGCCTCGTACATTGCTACATATATTTTAAGAACTCGCATATCCACCCGTAAGATGACATGATAAGGCTTATCATCTGCCAGTCTAGACTGTGAGAACAATGCCAAATCCTGTCCCTTCTTTCTTGTGGCTTGGTCATTTATGAGAGAAAACAAGAAGAAAACACATTGGAGAAGAATAGCACAGTGAATAACATGTTGCAGTAAACAGTGTGTTGGGCATTTAGTGAAGTACTCAGCACAAGTGAGCAGAACGTGGTAGCAAGGACATCCAGGAGACGGTGCTTTGGAAGATGAAGTCATCTCTCAATACTGCTAAGCAATTTTGAAATGCACACTTCACGAATACAGCTGAGATAAGCAAACACCTAGAGAAATACATGCAACATTGCAAGGCCTATCAAGTGTTTGCTGAAGCATTGCTGAAATTACAGATGTCTGCTACCAGCTTTTGTGGCAATTTGTGGCATCAAAATATAATTCAATCTGGATAAGTGTGAGGTGATGCACTTGAGCAGAACAAATAAGGTAAAGGAATACATGATGAATGGTGGAACCCTGGGAAGCACCAAGGACCAGAGGGATTTTGGTGAGCATGTCACCGGTCCCTTAAGGTTATGGAACAAGTAGATAAAGTGGTTAAGAAGGCTCAGAGATAGTAGGAACTGCTTGGCCTGCTGTGTTCATCCAGCTCTACACCTTGTTATCTCTGGTTAAGAAGGCTTATGGGATATGTGCCTTTATTAGCCAAGGCGTAGAGTTTAATAGCATGGAGGCCATGCTGGAGCTGTATAAAATGTTGGGTGGATCACTTTTAAAAGTACTGTGTGCAATTCTGTAACCTACAATTTGGAGAGATGTGACTGTACTGGAGAAGGTGCAGAGGCAATTTACCAGGATGCTGCCCAGGCTGGAGAGTTCTGTTATGAAGACAAATTGTATAGGCTGGGGTTGCTTTTCAAGAAGAAGAAGAGACTGAGCAGGCATGACTGAAACATATAGAATTATGAGAAGCATAAATAAGGTAGATAGAAAGCGACTTCTCCCCCTGGTGGAGGCAGCATGGATTTAAGATAAGGGGGCCTGAGGTTTCGAGGGAATGTGAGGAAATGTTTTTCCACCCAGAGGGCAGCGGGAATCCAGAACTCATTGCCTGCAAGGGTACAGAGGTAGAAACCCTCATAACATTAATAAAGTTCTTAGATGCACACTTGTGATGCCAGGGCATACAAATCTATGGGCCTAGTGTTGGAAAATGAGA